GACTAACAGTCTAGATATAATATCAGAACTTTGTAAAGAAAAGCTTGTTAGACAATTCTCAATACAAAATTTATTGTAATATTAGTCACAGGAATATTTAGAACATTTGAAATATTTGGAATCCTTGGAATAATTCATAAATCTTATTAACCATGGTGCTGACTTCAGATTTTCAAAGTTCTTCAAGAGATGGAGATATGTGACATTTAATTTTTGATATGTATCATTCATGTTTAAGTGAGTACATTAGAGTTAAACCATATCTATAATCTACTATGGGCATTTTAAATATGACATGCATGTTTCTTGATGCACACATCTGAAAATGTGATGAAAACCTCAGTCCTTAATGAAATTTGTGAATTCCCACTAAAGATCATATCCAGTATAACCAATCGTTCAACAAATTTATTCTGTCAATAGGGACATATATAACCATATTAATTCTAATTAAATTTCCTTTAAAAAATATTTCCATTCAATGAAATCCAGAATAGAATATTTAATTATAACTGATTCCAAATCATAACATATTTATCAGTTACATTGTTTGGTTTATGTGTAGTAATTTAAAATTAGAAGACAGAGAGAATTATAAATTTATATATCCTGTTAATTCACTAATTATCTGTGTATTTTATACCACTGATTGCTTTTTAAATCAAGTGGAAAAGCAACATTAAGATTAGAATTTTGGAAATTTATTTCTTACTTATTCAGATTTCTTTGACCTGATGGTGACTGAATATCATTATAAAACTTAAGGCTTGTTTGGGCTAAAACTTATATGGAATGGTTAGATGGTCTTGGCTATCTTCTCTAGTTGCTAGTCTTTTCTGGATATATTATTACTTCAAATGTCAATTGATTGGCAGCCTCAACAGGGGAAACAGGTTGGTAGCTTTCAGTAGCTCTCATTTGATTGATGGGAGTTGAATCATAAGAAATGCAACTATTTTATTTCATGCTTAGACTTCAGTATTTTGTACTATGTGTACTTGTTAAACCTATTTGTTAAACAGGTGAATAAAAACTGTTAGTTTTCATTATGTTTAAAAGTGAAAAATCCAATAAAACTGATAAAATGTGAGTATTAAATAAGTATAAGCAAGTTAAATATCTGATAGGATATATGCTGTGAAGGGCATAGTAACAAATCTATAACTGTGTTGCTATGTGCATTTGTGTGGTGTCATGTGTGTGCATGAATTTCCCTACATAAGTGCTATTGAAACTGTCAGAAAATTTTTAGTATAAGACAAATTTCATAATATACTAGTATAGGAATACTTAACATAGTCTTGAAACCTCTTCTTAAGACTTAAAAGGTGGGCCCATTCTATTATATGATATATATATAATTCAAAATATGAATGTTATTTTAAGCCAATATTACTTTTTGTAAAGAATTCTACTATAATTTCTGGCAATCTGTTTTCTCAACTACAAAGCACAACAGGAAGATATGTACTTAAGCTTCATGTGTAATACTATATGTGACTAGATATATACATATACATACCAGAAGTAAAATTTACTAAACTATCACTTATGTAAATTAAGCAAAATGTAAAGAAAAAAATCAGAAATTTTACTTGAAACTTTTGATTAAATAAATTGTCAAGCAGTTACAGGAAAATTTAGATAAGAGTTTTGAATTAACTGCTAATCCATTTTTACAGTGGCTAAATAACTTGATTCTAGAAAAGAATAAAAAAACACTTCCTGGAATATGAAAATAAAAACTTTAAATGTACACTCTTTTTTTTTAAGGTCTACTTACGAATTCCACCCTACAGAGGGAAGGTTAAAATAATCGATTTAACCTTTGGATTCACAGGATTACCATAGCATTGAGACTTACACATGTCTTTGATTTCCAGTAAAGTGAAGTTCACAGTGTCTTGGAAAAGCCCATTACATTGAATGATGGAACATTTGTCATTTGTTTAAAACCCCAAACCTATTTTTGTATGTGTGTATGATTCACATAGGTTGTTCTGAAGACTATATTTTACCACAAATCCTGAATGAAAGATCAAATGATTTTTTTTTAACATTTCCTGACAAAAATGACATGCTTGACTTGTGTTATCAAGTTACTGAAGAGTTATGCATCAACTTTTAAAAGTATTTTAGCTATATTGCATACATTTAACAAAAACAAAAGTACCTCTGACTGGATGTTTCTTGAGGATAATTTCTAAGTGACTGCTGAGATTTACAGAGTTCTCACATTTTCTTCCCCCACAAGGATTCTAAATCAGTTCGGTTTAGAGGAAAATCTAGCATACCCTATTTTTCTAATATTATCACTTCTCCAGATGGTCCTGAACATATCTACTCAATTCCTTTTTCCTAGAAAGTAAAGAGGTATCTTACTAGATATGTGCAGCATACATCCACTACAAAGGCTCCCTTCTTGTTTTTACTTCCTTTTCTTCTCATTTAACATACCAAACATCTCTCATCTCCCACCAGCCAGGAAGACAAGTAGCAAGTGAGCACAGTGATTGCCTGAAACTTCATCTTGGCAACCTGAGCAATGAGAGAGTTAATGGTGGATCTTTGAAAACAAGTGACCATGGGAAATTAAGGTTGGCAGGGATTTAACTCTTGATGAGTCATGCTGTAGTATGTTTAAGGGCAATGCAAGGATGTTTTAAGTGTGTTTGACATCTAAATCAGGAGGAAAAGGAAAAAACTAAAAAAAAATCCACATTATGGTTTTAGAAACTAAATACTGACAATTGGCTACCAGACATTTGCTTTGGTAAAACAAGCAGGCATGTGGTGAAAGGAGGGGAAAAAGACAATGATAAACTAATAA